TACTATTGCGAAATAATGTGCTATTCCCCAATACTGTGCTATTAAGCAATACTGTGCAATAAAAGATTTCTTGTTACTGGGCAATACTGTAATATTGCGCAATACTGTGCAATTAAAGATTTCTAGCTATTGCGCAATACTGAGCAATAAGATATTTCTTGCTATTGTGCAATTGAAGATGTCTTGCTCTTGCGCAATACTGTGCAATTGAAGATTTCTTGCTATTGCGCACAACTGTGCAATTGAAGATTTCTTGTTATTGCGCAATACTGTGCTATTGCACAATACTTCATATGATAACTTACACATCCTGTTTGGTGTGTATCTCCTGTCATATCAGTATTTTTTGCATTTACATATATCTGAAATAATTAATGGAAAAATGGAAAATTTAAAGAAAAAATTCAAAAAAAGATGAAAATAACCCCAATCCTCCATTACTCAAGCTCAGCCTTCCCTTGGAGGCATGGCAACTTGCAATACAATTTCAGAGAGATCCATACACTTAAACACAAGTAATTATCTGGAAACTAGAAAAATGCTAGTTTTTGTCCCTTATTCTTGAACATTTAGGGCAATTAACCCAAACTCATACCACGTCTTCCCATTGTGATATGGAACCTTGTTATACAATTTCGGAAAGATCTATAGACTTACACACAAGTTATTGTCCAGTAACAACAAAATTGCTTGTTTTTTTTACCCTTTTTTTGCCCTTTATTCCTGAACATTGAGGGCAATTAACCATAAACTCGTACTACGTCTTCCCATTGTGATATGGAACCTTGTGATACAATTTCAGAGAGATCCATACACTTACACACAAGTTATTGTCCAGAAACTACAAAATTGCTTGTTTTTGGCCCCTAATTCCTGCATATTTAAGACAATTACCCCCCAAACTTATACCCAGTCTTCCCATTGTGATATGAAACCTTGTGGTACAATTTCAGAGAGATCCATACACTTACACACAAGTTATGGTCTGGAAACTACAAAATTGCTTGTTTTTGGCCCCCAATTTCTAAACCGTTGGTACCATAAACCTCAAAATCAAATTTCACAGAGATACATTCACTTAAACTAAAGTTATTGTCCGGAAACCATATGTCTTCGGACGACGCTGAAGACGACGACGGCACCGTCATACCAATATACGACGCAAAAATTTGTTTTGCGGTCGTTTAAAAATCAGCCATTGGCTAGTCCATAAATAATACAAAATTTGGTGACTATGTTGAACGAATCTATCCCATCGAACTAGAGATAAAGGATACTACAGATATAATAAAGTCTGTCTCATATCTTGTCTTACATTTAGAAATTGACAATGAGGGTGGGTTGAAAACAAAACTTTACGACAAAAGAGATGATTTCAGCTTCCCAATTGTGAACTTTCCATTTCTATGTAGCAACATTCCAGCAGCGCCTGCATACGGAGTATATATCTCCCAATTGATACGATATTCCCGGGCTTGTATTTCCTATCATGATTTCCTTGATAGAGGATTGCTGCTCACAAGGAGGCTATTAAACCAAGAGTTCCAAATGGTGAAGTTGAAGTCATCCCTTCGTAAATTTTACGGACGCCATCACGAGTTGGTTGACCGTTATGAAATAACCGTTTCACAGATGATATCGGATATGTTCCTTATGTCGTAACTACAATACCCTTCCCTTTTCACGAATGTGACCTACCGAATTAGACTACTTACCGGATTTGTAATAACATAAGCAACACGACGGGTGTCACATGTGGAGCAGGATCTGCTTACCCTTCCGGAGCACCTGAGATCACCCCCAGTTTTTGGTGGGAGTTCGTGTTGCTTAGTCTTTAGTTTTCTATGTTGTGTCATCTGTACTATTATTTGTCTGTTAATCTTTTTATTTTTGGCCATGGCGTTGTCAGTTTGTTTTCGATCTGAGTTTGACTGTCCCTCTGGTATCTTTCGTCCCTCTTCCATAGCAGTACGTATAATATTCACTCAAATACAAATGATCATGATAATTTCCATTCATATTTAAATTATGTTGTTTTGAATTATGAATAGATAATCTCACCAGTTAGTGCCACGGTCAACTCGTTTTCTCCATTTCTGATTATTAAGCTTGTTATGAATTTTTTTAACAGTAGACTTAACGGACGGAACGGTCAGAGTTCGTATAACATTTAAATAAATATACACTGCAAAATAAAAAAAAAGATTTTTGATAATTCATTTTAGAAGATTTATAGAATTTAAACGGACTATTGAGTTATTTTTCAAACTCTGCTTTCATCATGAAAAAGAACAACGAAATACCATATAACAAGAGTGCACACGCTGAAATGTCTCGCCTTCTTTACTAATCATTGATATTATGTTGATAGTCCTAAATATAAAGCTTTATTACAACTGTCACATAAACTTAACATTAACCAAGTAAACTAAACATTGACCAATGAACCATGAAAATGAGGTCAAGGTCAGATGAACCATGCTAGGCAGGCATGTACAGCTAACAATTCTTCCATACAACAAATATAGTTGACCTATTGCTTATAGTTTAAGAAAAACAGACCAAAACACAAAAACTTAACACTGAGCAATGAACCTTGAAAATGAGGTCAAGGTAAAAAAAAACCTGCGTGACTGACAAATAGATCAAAAAATATTTCCATACACCAAATATAGTTGAACTATTGCATATAGTATTAGAAAAAAGACCAAAACTCAAAAACGTAACTTTGACCACTGAACCATGAAAATGAGGTCAAGGTCAGATGACACCTGCCAGCTAGACATGTACACCTTACAATCATTCCATACACCAAATATAGTAGACCTATTGCATTTAGTATAAGAAAAACAGACCAAAACACAAAAACTGAACTATAACCACTGAACCATGAAAATGAGGTCAAGGTCAGATGACACCTGCCAGTTGGACATGTACACCTAACAGTCCTTCCATACACCGAATATACTAGACCAATTGCTTATAGTATCTGAGATATGGACTTGACCACCAAAACTTAACCTTGTTCACTGATCCATGAAATGAGGTCGAGGTCAAGTGAAAACTATCTGACGGGCATAAGGACCTTGCAAGGTACGCACATACCAAATATAGTTATCCTATTACTTATAATAAGAGAGAATTTAACATTACAAAAAAACTTAACTTTTTATTCAAGTAGTCACTGAACCATGAAAATGAGGTCAAGGACATTGGACATGTGACTGACGGAAACTTCGTAACATGAGGCATCCATATACAAAGTATGAAGCATCCAGACCTTCCACCTTCTAAAATATAAAGCTTTTAAGAAGTTAGCTAACGCCGCCGCCGCCGCCGCCGGATCACTATCCCTATGTCGAGCTTTCTGCGACAAAAGTCGCAGGCTCGACAAAAAATACACTTTTCGACTTGCACTTCTTATTTTTACAGAACTTCACTTCTTTATTTAAAGACAAGGAAATGACAAGTATGTGTCTTTACGAATACATGTAAAACTCTTTTAGCATAATCAGAAATACGTCATATACGTTCCGTCATATACGGATACGTCCCCGATATGTGAGTTCTGCAACAGCTCTATTTGATGCTTTATCATCTATCTATGGCAAAGATAAAAAATAATTCAATTTCAATTACTGCCACCAAAATGTGACCACTTTACCATTGTTTAAAAACCAGTGTTGTTTGAAAGTTTCCTTTATAATACCTTGATGAGTCTGATAAACAAGATTACCATATTTTGTAAGCAGTGAATACTTCTTTTTTTATGCTTCTATACAATCTTGGGAGATGTTTGGAGAAAAAACATGGCTAATAAGTAGTTCTCACACAAATTGCTCTGAATTATCATCAAGATTATAGCACTATTTTGAAGTCTGTACACATTATTTACACGATTAACAAATTCACAGGCTTTGTTCACTAAATCCTTAGATATTTAAAAAAAAAAAAAAAACAGTCACAAGTTAAAATATATTTTTAAGTTTCTGAGCAATCATCTTGCAATAAGATGTAGTCAACAAGCAAATTAACAATATAAATAAGTTAACACAGGAACAAGATTCCCCATAATAACATATATAATTGTTGTCAGACATGTTTACATTAGAATAAATTATTAACAGTAATATTCAATTTGCTAATTGACCCGACCTCATACCAAAGTATCTCAAGTAGGATTTTTTAAAATTTATAAATATAGACTGTCTTTGATGTATGACAGACATGTGTTATTACCTTTCAACATAACAACAGGCAGATACGGAGAACATTTCTTTTCTATTATAACACATTTTGATATAATTTGTAAGAATTTTCACTATATATATACAATGCTGTAGATTTAAGAGCTGGAATGCTTATATGTAATGATGGCATATTAATGACAAATGCCATGAGTCAATGTGTACAAAATCTATAAAAGGATGTACCATTGTGTACTAAAAAAAAATAAAAATAAAATGAAAGAAAGAAGAAATTAATTTCATACTTTAATGTCTCATTTTATCATGTTTTATTCAGACAATGGCTACATGAAAGCGATACAGGTCTGAAACTGTATTGTAATTAAAAATATGACACATAATAGGTTTCTGACACAGAATAACTGTATTCAAAGAACTTAGAATTGGTTATTTGATTAGAATTTATATTCACTATGATGTTGCAAATTGCCCCCCCCCCAAAAAAAAAAAATTAAAAACAATTACCCCCACCCCCACCCCTCTTGTTTTTGCCAAAAAAATTAAAATATTTGAAGAAATTTTCTTTTTAATTCTGAAATGATAAAAAAAATGCCCCCCCCCCCCCCCCTCCCTAGTTCCTTTTTACACCTTCCCCTCCTTTTTCCATTATTGGTCATAATCTCAATTCAAATTTCAATTGGAGTTTTCAACCATAATTACCCGTTTAAATACATCATAAAAGTCTTAAAATAGAAAATGACATGCATTATCATGGCTAAAATTAATATTCCTTAATCATAATTTAAAAAAAAAAAATATTAACTTCTAAAAATAAATTGACAGCTAATCACCTCAAGACAATACAACATTTCTTTACACATAATTTAAAAGCAGTATAATAGAGATAATCCAAACATATAATTTGTACTTCTTTTTTAATTGTCCATTAACCAGGAAACCCTTTTTTGACCCTAATTCCGAAACTGTTAGGACCATAACCCCCAAAATCAATCCAAACCTTCCTTTTGTGGTTATAAACCTTGTATTTGAATTTTGTAGATTTCTATTTACATTTACTAAAGTTATTGACCTGAAACCAAATGTCTTCTGACGATGCAGACACATCGTGTTATCAATATACAACCGCAAAATTTTTTGTGGTCGTATAAAAATACAATAGTGCACACACTGAAATGTCTCGCTGTCATTACGAACCATTGATATTAAATTGACAGTCCTATATATAAAGCTTTACTTCAACTATCATATAAACTTTTATTGGTCACAAAAAATGAGGTCAAGGTCAGATAAACCAAGCTACAAACAGTCAAAGCTCAGACATAAACAAGATAGTTTTTTTCGACTCATAGGAGTCAAAAAATGACAGACTCGTTTAACTCTATTTGTGTTTATGAAAAGACTTGATTTTATTTGCTTCCCAAAGTGCACAACATATGACATTATAAACCTGTCTGAACGTTCACAAGGACATGAGCTATCTATATCTAATTATCTAATTGAACATTTTTACATAACATAAGATTATTTTCCTCCTTTAGTGTGGCTATAGATGGTTGCTTTGTAAAGTAAATAAACATAATTTCCGTTTGTTTAGGGTCTCATGCATAATTTTCTTTAAAAGACAAAGCATTGTATTTCAATATTGTCATAATTTCATATAGATGCATGACCTTTATATAAATATCCTTGGGTTTGAAGTTGACCAATTTGGTTAACTTATCGACTTGTAGGGGTCAATATTTGCGACTTTTGAATTTAGGTCAATATTTCTTGCTTAACACTAATCGAATTATTGAAGTCGTAAATTGCCTTAAATTAAAGGGAGACAAATCTTTGAATCTACAAATTTAGACCTCCATGAGTCAAAAACAGATTAAGACTTATTTATGTCTGAGATCTGACCGACAAATACAAGTACACCTTAAAATTATTCGATACATCAAATATGCTTTAAATATAGTTGACCTAATGCACATCTAAGAACAAACTTAACCAGGAAAATTCAACCTTAACATTGATCAATGATCCATACAAATGAGGCCAAGGTCAGAAGAACCTTAACGCTCAGATATGTACACCAAACAAACATTACATGCTTTAAATATAGTAAACCTATTGCAGTTAATTTATTAGAAACAAAGTCAACCAGAAAAACTAAAGATTGACCAATAAACCATGAAAATGAGGTCATGGTCAGATGTTAATAGCCAAACAATATAAACCTTACAATCATTCCATACACCAAATATAGATGTCCTAGAATGCTTATAGTATTAGAAAAAACAGACCAAATACTAAGAACTGTCACGATAAAATAAAAAATGCCACACTGACATGTATATTTTCATACACTAAATATATTTGACCTATTGTATACAGAATTAGAAAAACAGAACAAAACATAAAAACCAAACTTTAACTACTGAACCATGAAAATGAAGATGATACATGCCAATTGCCCATGGCAGGTTCAACTTACAATAATTCCTTAAATCATATATAGTAGACCTATCGCCTATAGCAGTAAAGTATCTGATATATAGATGTCGAGGTCAAGTGAAAACTGTCTGACGAGAATGAGGACTTCAAATTTGCAAGGTACACACATACCAAATATATATATTACTCATAATAAGAGAGAAATAAAGAATACTTTTTTTATAAGAAGTCACTGAACCATGAAAATGAGATCAAGAACAATGATCATATGACCGACGGAAACTTTATAACATAAGGCATCTATATTCAAAGTATGAAAGATTCAGGTTTTTCTACCTTCGGAAATATTAAGCTTTGAAGAGATTTGTTAATACCGACGTGGCTGCCGCCGCCAGATCACTCTCCCTATGTTGAGCTTTCTGTGACATATTAAAGTTGCATGCTCTAGAAAAAATGTTAATACATGTTAACTAAAATTCACACTATTTTGCTTTTTTTTTGTTTTGTATGTCTATATATTCGACAGACTATTCAATGTCACTACATATAGTCACTAATATCTTCATTTTACAACATCAGAGATAAATTCATTCAATGCCAATGTTAAGCATGTCACCATCATTTTGTTTATTCTTCAATATCAACTTATCCTTTTTATCACCAAACGCCATGTCATATTCCTTTCTCTCATCTTACTCATTTTTTTCATCATTTTCTGTTGCCATTCCATCATCACAATCGATGTTAAATTGTGACAATCTGCGATATTAACATGTTCTATAACAAACTCTTCATTTTCATTATTTAAATACTTTTTGCTTTTCTTTAGTACTTTTCGAATTATACATTGCACTTGAACTTTAAGATGTGCTATCTTCCATTTCATCTGAATCTGAATCGGTACTATCTTCACTCTCCTCGGCAACCTCTTTTTCACAAAATGGTTTATGCATAGGATCATTATGACAATTTTTATGCTGATTAAGATTTTTAATACTGTCAAATGTTTTTCCACAAAAGCAATCGAACATTCCATCAATATGTTTTCTCATGTGCACTAACAATCCTGATTTGCTCCCAAACTGTTTTCCGCATAAGTGACACTGCGTTGGTTCATTTGCTGTCTTATTCCTTATGCATGAGTCTTCATGACGTGTTAGCTTACTTTTCATAAGAAATTTCTTGTTACATTTCTTGCATTTCAAAAGACCTCTATTTTTATGATTTAATATGTGTTTTTCTAATTGCTGTTTATACTTAAATACACTAGGGCAGGATTTAACCTTGCATTTATAAAATTGAGCCGAATGAGTAGTGAGCTCATGTCTACTCAGTCCTTGTATGGACCTGAAGGACGCCCCACAATGTCTACAAATATGTATTTGTGTTTCATGCTCTAAACAATGTTCATTTAACTTGTGTTGATCTGAAAAATATTTAAAACAACCTTTCTCTCGGCATTTATATACCATAGAATGTACCTTTTCCATATGAACTTTCAAGTCAAGTGTAGTTTTATGCTCTGTTTCACACTTATCACAAGAATATGATTGGAGTTCTGCATTCTTTTGCTTGCGAATAAGGTAAGCATGGTGTTTTCTATGCTTAGTATAATGTGTCTTATCTGCTGTTGAGAATTCACAATGTATACAACAGTAAACATCTGGTGTCTGTATTGATTTTTTTTCGTTTTGCTGAGTGAGTAAAATTGAATTCATCCCTTCAACAAATTCCTCAACATTATCAGCATTAAGCTCTTCCATTGTAGTTTCTAAAATTGTTTTCTCGACTGTTAAACTTGCTCCTTTATTCTCATCAACTGCAGAAGTCGTACTGTTGATATTTCTGCTGAACTTTAAAGATTCCCTGTGATTGAATCCTTTACCCTCGTCACAATGCATTTTACTAATATGTGCAGAAAGATTGTTTTTGGCTTTATACACTTTATTACAAATGTCACATCGAAACATTAATCTTTTGAAACAATAATCCTCGTGTCTTTTTAGTGCACCCTTTAGTACAAATACCTGTGCACATTTTCTACATTTCAGGACACCATGTGATTTGTGCCTTAACAAATGTTTTTGTAAGGCAGATTCTTCCACAAAACGGGCTTTACACCCTCTAAGCATACATATCAATAATGGGTTGTCCGGATGCATGAATTTTTTATGGCTTTGCAAACCGACTTCTGATTTATATTCATTTCCACATTCATCACAGAAATATTTTTGAGATTTACATAGTTTAGACATTCTGAGCTTTCTTTTGAGGTAAGAGTGATGTTTTCGGTGTCTCTCTTGTTCCTGTTTATCACCTGTTGAAAATTCACACTTTTTACAAGACCACAACCTTTCTTGATTGGTCTCACCTGTTTCTTTCTTTCCTTTATCTGATTGGCTCTTATTTCTAAGCTTTCTGTCAGATATTTCGTAAATTTCACACCCACCGTTGTCTATGTGTTCTTGTAACCATGGTAAATGACCGCCGTCACCTTCATCTAAGGAAATGAAGTCTGGAAGTGGTGATCCTTCTTCACAAGTCTTCTTCAAACATTCCTCTTCCAAATCAACACTATCCTATAATTAAATTGAAACTCTTTGTTTTTCATTTAATATTTTAAATTCAATTTATTCTTGCAGATCTTAAATTTTAGTGATGTTTTCAATTTAAATAACTAATGAATTTTTAAAACAGTTATTGCATTGTCAGGATATACCCCTAATTAAAGCCATTAGTCAACTATCTTAATTGACCGCTTCATCTTTTCACAATTGCCCTTCTTACAGCATAGTGCACACGTGAATAAGAAGTCATTCATAAGGTCCTTGGTGAAAAACTGTGAACCTTCATGTGTTAATCTATCCAAACACATTCATCCAAGGGCATTATGTTTATATAACAGGTGTCTTCACTCATTGGTTAAACTTATTTTTAAAAGTGGAAAAAAGGGAATCAACTGGAACTTTATCAAAAGTAAACTAGAGGCTCTAAAGAGCCTGTGTCGCTCACCTTGGTCTACTGTGGATTCATTTATTTTCGTGGGTACCATTTTTCGTGGATTGAGGAAAACTTGCATTTTCGTGGATATTTAATTTCGTGGTTTTGGCAAAGTCTGTATACATTCTTTTGGAAAATTTGTTATTTGTTGAACATTTAAATTCGTGGTTCCCCTGTACTCACGAAATCAACGAAAATTGGTATCCAACGAATATTAATGAATCCACAGTATGTGAATATTAAATAAAGGACGCAGATGGATTCATGACAAAATTGTGTTTTGGTGATGGTGATGTGTTTGTACATCTTAATTTACTGAACATTTTTCCTGCTTACAATTATCTCTATCTATAATTAACTTGGCCCAGTAGTTTCAGAGGAGAAGATTTTTGTAAAAGATTACTAAGATTTACAAAACTAGAGGCTCTAAAGAGCCTGTGTCGCTCACCTTGGTCTATGTGAATATTAAACAAAGGACGCAGATGGATCCATGACAAAATTGTGTTTTGGTGATGGTGATGTGTTTGTACATCTTAATTTACTGAACATTTTTCCTGCTTACAATTATCTCTATCTATAATTAACTTGGCCAAGTAGTTTCAGAGGAGAAGATTTTTGTAAAAGATTACTAAGATTTACGAAAAAATGGTTAAAATTGACTATAAAGGGCAATAACTCCTAAAGGGGTCAACTGACAATTTCGGTCATGTTGACTTATTTGTAGATCTTACTTTGCCGACATTTATCGTTTTTTACAGTTTATCTATATCTATAATAATATTCAAGATAATAACCAAAAACAGCAAAATTACCTTAAAATTACCAATTCAGGGGCAGCAACCCAACAACGGGTTGTCCGATTCATCTGAAAATTTCAGGGCAGATAGATCTTGACCTGATAAACAATTTTACTTCATGTCAGATTTGCTTTAAATGCTTTGGTTTTTGAGTTAAAAGCCAAAAACTGAATTTTACCCCTATGTTCTATTTTTAGCCGTGGCGGCCATCTTGGTTGGTTGACCAGGTCACGCCACACATTTTTAAAACTAAATAACCCAATGATGATTGTGGTCAAGTTTGGTTTAATTTGGCAACGTAGTTTCAGAGGAGAAGATTTTTGTAAAAGATTACTAAGATTTACGAAAAATGGTTAAAAATTGACTATAAAGGGCAATTACTCCTAAAGGGGTCAACTGACCATTTCGGTAATATTAACTTATTTGTAAATCTT